GGGACATCCCCCCCCCACTCCGGCCATACTAATACATAGCACAGGGTCATGAGTGCGATCTCAGGGCAGCTCCCACTCCATGCTGACCATGGCCTCTGTGCAAGCACATCGGCTCTGACTGTGCTGGGCTTGCTCTGCTTCTTGGGACCCCCCCCCAGGGAATCAGCCTGGGGCTTGCTCTGCTTCTTGGGGCCCCCCCCCCGGGAATCAGCCTGGGGCCTTGCTCTGCTTCTTGGGGCCCCCCCCCCGGGAATCAGCCTGGGGCCTTGCTCTGCTTCTTGGGGCCCCCCCCCCGGGAATCAGCCTGGGGCCTTGCTCTGCTTCTTGGGGCCCCCCCCCCGGGAATCAGCCTGGGGCCTTGCTCTGCTTCTTGGGGCCCCCCCCCCGGGAATCAGCCTGGGGCCTTGCTCTGCTTCTTGGGGCCCCCCCCCCGGGAATCAGCCTGGGGCCTTGCTCTGCTTCTTGGGGCCCCCCCCCCGGGAATCAGCCTGGGGCCTTGCTCTGCTTCTTGGGGCCCCCCCCCCGGGAATCAGCCTGGGGCCTTGCTCTGCTTCTTGGGGCCCCCCCCCCGGGAATCAGCCTGGGGCCTTGCTCTGCTTCTTGGGGCCCCCCCCCCGGGAATCAGCCTGGGGCCTTGCTCTGCTTCTTGGGGCCCCCCCCCCGGGAATCAGCCTGGGGCCTTGCTCTGCTTCTTGGGGCCCCCCCCCCGGGAATCAGCCTGGGGCCTTGCTCTGCTTCTTGGGGCCCCCCCCCCGGGAATCAGCCTGGGGCCTTGCTCTGCTTCTTGGGGCCCCCCCCCCGGGAATCAGCCTGGGGCCTTGCTCTGCTTCTTGGGGCCCCCCCCCCGGGAATCAGCCTGGGGCCTTGCTCTGCTTCTTGGGGCCCCCCCCCCGGGAATCAGCCTGGGGCCTTGCTCTGCTTCTTGGGGCCCCCCCCCCGGGAATCAGCCTGGGGCCTTGCTCTGCTTCTTGGGGCCCCCCCCCCGGGAATCAGCCTGGGGCCTTGCTCTGCTTCTTGGGGCCCCCCCCCCGGGAATCAGCCTGGGGCCTTGCTCTGCTTCTTGGGGCCCCCCCCCCGGGAATCAGCCTGGGGCCTTGCTCTGCTTCTTGGGGCCCCCCCCCCGGGAATCAGCCTGGGGCCTTGCTCTGCTTCTTGGGGCCCCCCCCCCGGGAATCAGCCTGGGGCCTTGCTCTGCTTCTTGGGGCCCCCCCCCCGGGAATCAGCCTGGGGCCTTGCTCTGCTTCTTGGGGCCCCCCCCCCGGGAATCAGCCTGGGGCCTTGCTCTGCTTCTTGGGGCCCCCCCCCCGGGAATCAGCCTGGGGCCTTGCTCTGCTTCTTGGGGCCCCCCCCCCGGGAATCAGCCTGGGGCCTTGCTCTGCTTCTTGGGGCCCCCCCCCCGGGAATCAGCCTGGGGCCTTGCTCTGCTTCTTGGGGCCCCCCCCCCGGGAATCAGCCTGGGGCCTTGCTCTGCTTCTTGGGGCCCCCCCCCCGGGAATCAGCCTGGGGCCTTGCTCTGCTTCTTGGGGCCCCCCCCCCGGGAATCAGCCTGGGGCCTTGCTCTGCTTCTTGGGGCCCCCCCCCCGGGAATCAGCCTGGGGCCTTGCTCTGCTTCTTGGGGCCCCCCCCCCGGGAATCAGCCTGGGGCCTTGCTCTGCTTCTTGGGGCCCCCCCCCCGGGAATCAGCCTGGGGCCTTGCTCTGCTTCTTGGGGCCCCCCCCCCGGGAATCAGCCTGGGGCCTTGCTCTGCTTCTTGGGGCCCCCCCCCCGGGAATCAGCCTGGGGCCTTGCTCTGCTTCTTGGGGCCCCCCCCCCGGGAATCAGCCTGGGGCCTTGCTCTGCTTCTTGGGGCCCCCCCCCCGGGAATCAGCCTGGGGCCTTGCTCTGCTTCTTGGGGCCCCCCCCCCGGGAATCAGCCTGGGGCCTTGCTCTGCTTCTTGGGGCCCCCCCCCCGGGAATCAGCCTGGGGCCTTGCTCTGCTTCTTGGGGCCCCCCCCCCGGGAATCAGCCTGGGGCCTTGCTCTGCTTCTTGGGGCCCCCCCCCCGGGAATCAGCCTGGGGCCTTGCTCTGCTTCTTGGGGCCCCCCCCCCGGGAATCAGCCTGGGGCCTTGCTCTGCTTCTTGGGGCCCCCCCCCCGGGAATCAGCCTGGGGCCTTGCTCTGCTTCTTGGGGCCCCCCCCCCGGGAATCAGCCTGGGGCCTTGCTCTGCTTCTTGGGGCCCCCCCCCCGGGAATCAGCCTGGGGCCTTGCTCTGCTTCTTGGGGCCC